CCGAATTTTACCCAGTTAAACGTGAATACATAATTCCTATTCATAATATTTTTGGCTGATTTATTTTATTTAGATATAGAACCTCAAATCGGTAAGACTCTCGCGAATATTTAGCTATAATTTCTCTAAATCGTAAATATAATATATAATTAATAATTCAGCAAATGCATGAATTTTGACAAAAATTGAAATTTTGATGAATATCTAATGATTTTTTGAGAAAAAATTTAATAAAATATATAGTAAAAATGATGCAAATATGACAAATAATGCCGAATTATATTGTAGAAATTGATTGACGATTTAAATTATATGCTGAATTATATAGTAGAAATCGATTGCTGATTTATTTATGCCAAATTATTTGCCGAATTATATGATAGAAATAGATTGATGATTTATTTATGTCATTAATATGCCGAATTATTTGTTTTTTGACAAATGTTACATGAGTAGCATTATGTCGAATAAATATTTTTCGACTAGTGTTAAGATTAATACAAAAAAATTAGCAAAGAAGTAAAATATTATTTTTTAAGTTATATTTAGAGAATTAATTTTTTTATGATAAGTTAACATATGAAAGTCATAATAATTTTATAAATTTTAGTGTATATACAATAAAAACATATCATGTTAATCTGACTATGAATTAATTAAAAAAAAGAAGAAGAAATATTAATATAAGTATATACTTAACTTTATCAATAGTATTTTTGATAGACATGTTATTTTTGTTTGTAATTTAATTTAATTTTTTCAAGAAAATTATCAAAACAAAAAAAAAAATTTTTTAAAGAAAAAAATGAATTAGTGGGTAATTAAAATATCCTGCAACAGAGACTTGCAGGCAATGATATTAATAGTTGAAAGGGTATTCACCTGAACTATTAATCAAATGAAAAATTACTTCAAAAGTTACAGAAATTATATACTGTATAACTAACCCGACAGAGGTTAAAAAAAATATCATGTATCAACAAAGTCTCACATCTACTGTAATGCTTGTTTCGCGACTAGTTATTTTTGATTCGGGACAACTCAAAAGATAATTGAAATCAAGATTACTCTTGTCAAGTTAATGCATGCAAGAAATTAGAGTTATAGATTATAGAAAGTCCTTACTTGCTTATCTCTTGCTACATTATAAATGTGACCAAATTGTCTTTCAATATACTGTATGAAAAGTAAGGTTGATATTCAAAGAATCCAACTTTTAAACAAGTAATATATGTAATGGCTTATACAATGCCATACAAACATTTGCAATGATAACCACTATAAGGTTAAAGAATAAGTACGTATCTTGTCGTAATGGTTGCAATTCTTACAATTACGTACTGTATATGCCTCTTTCGACATATTCTTAAACTGTTTCAAATGGCCTTTACAAAACTCTTGGGATATGTTACGTACATATTAGATTTTAGTTAAATATGCGTACTGCATATACGGCATGGGTTAAAGATTGACCATGGGTTACGTAAAGTATTACTGCATTGTAGGATAACGGTCTACCTCTAGAAAAGGCATTTAATTAAATATTTAAAGTTGTGATCGACGAAACTATACGGTTGAGTATTACGCCAATTGCGAAAAATATGTTCTGTGCGATCAAAGTAGGTGGCGTTACTTCTACACCATATGGTTCAAACATGCGGCGAGGTATACGCGAGGGGATTGCATAAATTTTCGCCAAATACAGAGTCGCCAAACAAAGAAAATAACTAATCGTTCGATGTCTCTTAATATAACAGCAAGCAATGAAGATTCAATTCAGTTTAACGTTAACGCCGCGAATTATTATCGCATCATGATTCCTTGAATTAATTTGCGGGAGATTGCGTTCGTCGAAACGCAACCATTCTTTTCCCCGTGTCGTACTGTTTCAGAAAATTTATTATAGGCATTTCTTCGGACCACAATGCAAGAGCTCCACAGTTTATTTATTTACTAGATCATGATGGCATGACAATGCTAAACATAAGACAATACATTGATGATGAAGTGTATGTGGGATGATGTAATGACGGGAAAGAATTCTTTCGCACGCATGTGAGTTGGGACGGTTTCCAAGCATCCTTGTTTTTTTTTTATGTCAACAACATTTAACAGCAAGTATGCGATTGCACTATGACTTCGTGATATCTTGGTTTCAGATGCGTGTAACTTAAACGCGTGATTGTCTCCGTTCTGTTTTCAAGGTTTTAGTGTGACACGAAATTTTCTGGAAGGATAATTTTCCAAAAAGGAAACTGCAATCTTTGGATTTATTTTTAATTTTTTTTTGGAACAATTGGTGCATATTCTTTGAACGCGTAGGAAATTTAGATGGGGAAATGACCCGGCTCATTTTTCTTTGTTTCATGCATCTGGTGCCCAGAATTCAATGTACCATATTACTGCTTGAACCGGGATTCGGTGTACATTATCCGATGCAATTCTTACGAAATTTGGGTGCGTGTACTCGAGAAACATACATAATCCTCGAAAACCTACCGAAAAACAAGTTCTTTGTGCTGTTTGACTTCGACGAGAGCATGACTACGGAATAACGTGTTTGCAAATAATAATAATAATAATAATAATAATAATAATAATAATAAGTATAATAATAAAACCCGAAATATTCAAGCAATCAAACTCAACTTGGGATGTTAGGAAATCGACGCCAAGAATAACTCATTAAAGACCAATAAAAACACATTTAGCATACAACCGGACGTCAATAAGTTTTGCAAAAAGGAACGGGTTCCTACTGGTCCGAGATACATTGGTACAACCAGTATAATTTCCTATGTGTGCAACAAATAAGAATTACTACTGTATAAGTCCCAGAGTTGTATCTCATTTAATGAAATTCAACTTCCCTCGCAAATAGCACCTCCCGATGTCTCACACACGTCTTTTGTTGATATTTAGGTGCCAGATTACTATTTTAGTGTCTATAGTTTAAAAGATATTCTTAAAATAATAATGTGTCTAAAATGTATTTTGCACAACACAAATTCTGTGCCAAAGTCACGGGACGAGGAATAAGGAAAACCGTTCACCCATAAGATCATACTTTTTTCTTTTTCCTCCGTGATGGAGTGATAATAATGCCTGAAATAACAACATGATATATAAAGTGCTTCAAAGGAAATTATTGTTTCGCAATATTATTTGAAAGGAAAAATATACGGTAAATCTAATTAATTATTCAAGAACTGTTTGTCTTGAGACTTCGTTTGATGTATGCATTCGAGAAGACGGAGACGACCGATTTTGGTTAACAAGTAGAGTCGTGCGAGCGAAATGCCGGATAATAATTATCACACATTCAGAAACTCAATGATGTTTAGCTAGCATACACATTGCCATTAATAATAACGATATGCTCATCTTGTGTTTATCTTTATTTTATTTTGGTTTATTTCATTTTTTGTTTCTTTGCGACGATGTTTATCGAAGGCGAAAGGAAACCGTTGGCCTCTCCCCAAAAGGAAAAAAAAAAAGAAATCAAATCGTCATTACAAGAAAATTAAAATCGCGCCACGTACCCGAAGGGCAAGATCGAATCGCGTGCGAGTACGAATAATAACCAATAATAACCCGGGAAGATCATCATCGTCCTGCGTGTTAAAGATGAATTGTATAATTAAGTTTGATCTATAATGCACGTCACAGAGCCTCCGTAGCTCGTAGTTTCAACAAATATACACCCATTCTCTAATTGTCAAGCTTTGTGTTTTATCGTCAATCTAATAATGTTCATCCTTTATCACATTGTTTGGACTCGAATTAGAGAACTGCAAAACGTGTGCATATGATGCCGAATAAGCATGCAGTTAAAGAAAAACCAAAAAAAAACAAAGGCATTCATTTAATAATGACCGAAAATATAAGGTAAACTGTTGACACTATGTCCGCCTTAAATTTTACACCTCCACGGAAATTGCTATCTGGTACCTTAAGTGATGATCTGCACAATTGTACTGTGAAGGTGACTGGATATTTTCTTTTCTTCATTCAATGAAATTACCCTTACTTGGTTGGTATCAACCTCTCAAGATCATATCAAAAAGAGTTAAGGCGAAATGCAAATTTAAAACGGTGCAACGATGTCTGAGGGACGAAAGATATTAAAATTGCAAAATATAATCGAACATACAATGTGTCCACACATAAATAATTTTGTTTGTGTTACGTTCCTTGGGTGATAACAAATCGATCTATAGATGCCGTACGTGTTTCATACTGTTCATGCACGGCAATGTCTCTGTAAGTACTTACCTACCTACCTATCTTTCATAGTGTCACCTTCGAAACATTTATAAAAAAAAAAGATCCTAGTATTAGGGAAGGATCAAAAAGAAAATTCATCCTATTCCTTGTAAATGAACTCATTGGTGACTGTCTCGAACGACGTCAGGACATTATTAAAATTTTTTTCGTTAACAAAAGATGTTACTTTCTAGTAGTTTTCCCTTGATAAAAAAAAAGAATAGCTTAACTGGGCTACCGTCTAAAAAAGATGTGAAGAAGTCGAGTCTGAGAGATTCCACCCATATGGTGACCATGGAAGGGGTGCATTTAATTGTAAAAAAATGCGCCGACGAGATACGAGAGAGAGGTGGGTAATCTGTATTGAGGAATTTCTTGGTGAATCGAGTTGATACTCAGGCACATTCCCGTTTACACATAGGTTTATGCGTGGTCGACATCTTCAAACCGATTCGCATCGGCGAAAACGAGGATGAGGTCCGGGAGCTCGTCAATTTTCTACTAGAAAAGAGTCAATCGGAATGTAAGGACGAACTCAGGAAACATGATATTCACGACGTTGCCTCGACAATAAAATGGTCTCTCAGACACAGCGCCTCAACACTTGTTCCTTATGAATATTACGAAGAATTTGTACGCTATGAACAAGGCAAGTGTTGGTTAACGGCTAGATCGGAAATGAATTAGTCAAACACACGACACCACCATCCCTTCACCGATGTAATGCAAAACCAACTTTGGGAAAATTCTCCGTAGTCACGGTACATTATACTAACGATGGTTTGCGATTCCACCCTCCTCCTTCAATTAGAATGGGACTACGACCCGAGAAAAGGTTCGTTCAACAAATTTCTTTGCTACCTTCCCAAACAAAACCAGGAGATCCTTTGCGAAGTGTTCAGCATCTGCGCCGATGTCACCGCCGAGTCCCATATAAACAAGATGTCGGCACAACGATTGGTGAAATCGTTTGCTCTCTGCCTGATGGGAAATCACGAACAAGGTGGAAAAAATTTTGACTCAGCTTACACAGAGTGGACAAAGTGCTCCAACGCTTGTCTTCACCTTTTTCTCGCCTATCTCCGTGAAAGGTCAGTTTCCGAGTCGCTCAACCCGCGACTAACAATGTTGCTGGATAATTACGTTGAATATCGTAAGAAGTCCATCGCCTCCACGTACTTTGAACACCCGCTGCCCGACACCACTATCGAAGACTTGAATTCGATACCCAAACCGAGATCGAGAAAACAATCATCGGTCACCTTCACTCAGACCGAGATCAACGAGAAGAAAACGTTAATTTCAGAATTACCATCGTCCTCGCGTCCGGTGAGCATCCTGAAGGTCACGAGGCAAGTTCCGGTGGCCTCAGCCAGACGGGAAACGAGAAGGTTCACCACCTTACTACCCGAGATGATTGGCGGTTTAAAGCGCAAGACGATCATTCGTACTAGCATCGTGATGACCTTGGACGAGAAGCGAAATGCGGAACAGATGTGGGAGGCGTTTCAGAGCAATGGGGTTGGCGCTATGTCAGATGATTACTTGAAACTATACTTTGCCATTGAAGAGAGGGACCGCAAGTCAACGTACACGGGAAATCCCGATAATCTGTTGTGGACTCATTTTTCGAGAAAGGGCTTCAAGAGTCTTCATCTGGATCCTCCGGAAATCATCGTTGGCAAATCCGACGAAGGTCAGAAGTCCATCACCGATAACGCCAAAATCAGGACGATATCGAAGATCTCTGAGAAAGAGGAGAATGAAGATGAACCCGACAAGGGTCAAGAGGTGCAACTGGCCAGGAATGACTCTGGCGTTTCCGTTGGGGACTCGATGAGGCAGACGGTGGTCTGGGATGAGTTCTCCTCATCGGGTTTCAGAGATAACGTCGATAACATATCGAACCTCTCTCTGCCGATAGGGGAGGCGCTCAGCGTCGAAAGAGTTGACACGGAAAACAAAGAGAACGAGAATGACGTCGAGCCGAAGGGAAAGTCGCGTAAGGGTAGCGTGGCGAAAAAGAAGTTTGTAAAATTCCGTTCCCTGAGACGGCCACCGAGAACTCGTTCGTTTGACCACATCTTGATGGATAAGGAGGAGGATTGGGAAGATTGGGATATCATTAGCCGTACCGAAGATTTGCCTGTCGCAACACATCTGTCCATTGAGACCGTCGACGAAATATTTCCTTATGTTTGGATGGAGACCACCGCCGAGGGTGAAGGCAACCGATGGGGGGACTGGGTATTCATAGAACCAAAGAAAGGTTTGGTGAATGAGTGTGAATGGGTAATGATCGAAGAGAAAGCTCAGATATTCTCCGATGGGGAACTCAAAAAATCCTACACGCGAAGGAAGATGAGTATAATAAGTACTTTCAGCATTCCCTGGGTCACGAGCAGAGGGAAACCCCGACCAGTGAGTAAAGTCAGTACCGCACACTCTTTTGCCTCGAGCAAGTTACCGCAGCCTCCCCGTGCACTGGCAATGTTCGATCGTGCCCGAACGGATGATAGCTCTGATATTATGACGACTAACTACAGGTTTGGACCCCGGCGGTTCACGAAAAAAGACATTAGTGGGCCTTACCCACAGGAAAGACGAAGTGTGATGCATTTTTCCAGGACGAAGAATAGTGGATATGCCGATGGCAACGGAACGACAATGCAGTATGAGAAATATCAATATAATTATTCGGGGGATGATTATGAATCGGATCCGGGATACTACAATGAATATCAGGACGGATATTACGACGAATACCCAGATGGGCATTACGATGGATATCAAGACGGATATTACGACGAGGAATACTGGGAAGATGATTACTATCACCAGCAGGGGTACGCGGAGGAAGATGGTTATTATGATCAGGTTGGTTACGATTATTCCGGTGGAGCCGAAGAAGAAGGAAATTTCGAAGACGCGAAGAATAATGAAGAGTCTCGATCACCACAAGTTGAAAGGTTGTTGAACGTGGATTCGAAAGAAGATGCCAAGGGAAAAGATAAGGAGGTGTTGAGACCACAGACAACCAGCGTGAACGTGTAATTTCAAGTGAAGTGGATTGCGATTTTCTTCTCGCATTTTAGACAAGAAAAATTTATTCTTGCTATGCATACTATATATATATATATATATAATATTTAAATATTATTCATATTTTGTACATGTTTAATAGAATTATGAACTTTTTTTTTTCTCAAAATAGTGTTAGATTAATTTTTTATAAAATTCACTTGCATATGCATTCGCCCGAAAAAAAAAACCATTTTATTAACAGCATCAGTTAGCATTTTAAGATTTCTCAAATCACACATCATACATACAGTATATTATGCCTGTAAAAAAAAAACCATATATACATATATATAACGGAATTAACCACGGGTGGTTATTTCCTCTTCTTCATGGTCTGTGGTCAAATTTGTCTTACATGTGCCTTCTTTATTTACAACTGTCTACTATGTAAAATCAGCAACTTGAATCTTTATCTCCTAGCAAATAACGATTGCATTGTCATCAATTAATAGCATACATCTTTAAATAGTATTGAATTACTTATGGACTACGTAATAGACTTGAGCTCAATGCAAATTAGGTTACACAAAATTTGAACTGTGCGAACTTGTATATGCATGCGGTTAGGCATAACGAAATATTTTTAATTACGGTGATATGAAAGTTTTGAAAAATAGGGAGCTAATAAATTTTGATAAAATTAAACATTAGTAAATCTAATAGACTCGGCATACATAGTACAGTATATGTAAATTATTTGAACGAGAAACAGTTTAAACAAAATAACGTTTTACTCCGCAGTACTCATAACAGTTAAACCTCCATTTTTCCACCCATTTATTTACGAATTGCATAATACAAAAAATAATCCATATTAATTAGCTAGACAAATTGTTTTCGGATTGGAAAAAAATGACATCCACCACTCTCCACCTTCTCTTCCAAGACCTAATTCATGATAAAATTAAATTAAGTAAAATCAATTTTTTTAAAAAAATTTTTTTTTATTCGCTATTTCTACTTACCACTCTGCTTCATTCCTCCAAAAGGCATTCTCAAATCTCTCACCAACCAACAATTAACCCAGCAGGTGCCAACATAAATGCTCTCGGCAACGCGGCGCTGGCGACTCCCGTCTCGAGTCCAAACAGAACAACTTAAACCGTAAGGACTATCATTTGCTAATTTGATAACTTCCTCTTCAGTTTCAAACGGATGAACAGTGACAACCTATAATTTAACAGTGTGTCTAATTTGATTGCTTTTTTTTATTAAAAAAAAAAAAAATCTATCAAGTTCAACTCATTGAAATTTACCGGCCCAAATATTTCTTCTTGAGCTACTCGGCTAGACGGCGATACGCTATAAAAAGGGTATGATTATTGTACTGGCTTGAACATATGTATGCATATACAGTGAAAGAACTCACTTGGTAATAACCGTAGGCTCAACAAAATATCCTTCACTAAATTCTCCTTCCATTGGTTTCCTTTGGCCGCCACACTCAATAACTCCTCCCTCCGATTTTGCCAGTTCAATGTACCCGAGCACCTTCTCCATGTGCTCCTTACTGATCAGGGCTCCCACTTGAGTATTGGGATCGTTTGGATCTCCAACAACCAAACTAGAAGCTTTGGGTACGAATGCATCGAGAAACTTGCTATAAATCGATGATTGAACAAATATTCGAGAACCACACAAGCAGATCTGAAGTAAAACTCAATTGAGTCGAGTTGATTCTGATTAGCTTAAGAAAGATGAAAATCGTAAACTACCTCTCCTTGATTGTTGAAGGATGACTTTATGCTCGTTTCAACAGCCTTCTCAAAATCACAATCCTCAAAAATAATGTTTGCATTTTTTCCACCTTTTCGTGCGGAAGCATACATCAGTTGATAAAAACTCGGTAGAAACATTATAATAGGGGATGGTATATAAGCTTACCAAGTTCAAGGCAGACCTTTTTTAAGTGAGTGGAGGCAGCAGCATTTATCTTTTTCCCAGTAACCGTTCCTACGTTTCATACGTATTTATGTAAACGCGCATTTCCGTGTGGTTAAAGATTGCAAGATCGTAAATTCCAATTACCTCCGGTGAAAGATATAAGTGGGACCATAGGATGGCTCACAAGGGCTTGTCCAGTGGTTGCACCTATTCGTTGTATGCAAATATTCAGATGTTTATTAAAAGGATCATCCATCTGTATTAAACGCAGATGTTGAATGGGTCTACCTGTGCCAAAGATCATATTAACAACGCCATCCGGCAATCCTGCTTCCTTTAAAACGGAACAGAACACTAAATGTGAAACGTCTGTGAGTTTATAAATTACCAAGGAAATCTAATACAGCTTTTTTACTACTCACTGTACGCGGTGACACTTGTCATTTCACTAGGTTTGCAAACGCAGGTGCAGCCCGCTGGGCAGATAAATAAATAAAATGACTTTAAGAATAACGCAAAAATTAAAAATTGCATCACATAAATGAAAAAAGTTGATAAATACCCGCAATGCAGGGAGCTAGTTTCCATGTCATAAGGTAAAGAGGCCTGTGGTCGCAAATTCAAAGGATGATCAATATAACTTATCAACAAGATAATAATAATGAGTTCGCACCTACAGGTTCCACTACAGGTGAAAGAAAGGTTATAAGAATATGTTTCTAACCGCTTTCTTTAGTAAATGTACCCTACCGGTGCAATTAATCCGGCAACTCCAACTGGATTCCTCTGAACATAATTAAGAGAGACACCATCCATAAAACTGGCTTTCTCCTCCATGTGCAAAATGTGACCTGCGAAAAATCTAAGATTATATACTGATCTAGTAATGTCGACATTCGTGGCAAAGCCAATGGTTTTCCCTTGATCACGAACTTCCGCCTCAGCAAATTCTTTCAGCCGAGATTCCAAGATATCGGCCGCACGATACATTATTTTGGAACGAACAGCTCTTGGTGTCTTGGACCATTCCAAAAACGCGACTCGAGCTGCTTCTACGGCTAAATTAACATCATCTTCTGAAGAATCGGGGATTTTTGCGTATACCTTCGATTGCAAATTCACATTAGATAAGCCACAGTTGTAAAATTGAAGAATGATGGCAACGAATATGCGACACCTTTCCAGTCGAAGGATTATAATCATCAATAAAGTTTGTCGATTTTGCAGCCTTAAATTCGCCTGCAATAAAATTTTTTAATATCAACATTATATGTTTCCAACAATTCGTGAATGACTAACGAAAGTGAAAATTCATCATATTGTCGGCGACCGCTTTTATATTGATGAACTTGTATATAATCCAATAATCACGTGCACATATTGTTCTCTAGACATCAAAGAATATGTCGAATAAGGGCACACGCAAACAGGCTCAGGTGGCCTAGCAGCAGGATGCAGATAAATAATCCAAAACTGTAAATTTTAAGGTTGATTTCCACATGATTGATTTGACACAATTGAGAAAAGTCAAAATAGTGCCGGTAAAAGTCAAATGATTTCGACAATAATCAGAAACCACTAACTAAATATTTTACAATTCAATTGCATTAAACAAATATAGAAAAATCGTCTTTTTAATAAAAATAATAAATAAATTTAATATTTTTAAAGGCTCAATCCGAATTCATTGTGTGTAATCAAGAATTTGGATTTAATTGTTTCTTTTATATACTGTAATTTTAATTGAAGCATTGAAAAATTGAAATATAAAAATTAATAATTAATTATTATTGGATTGTTTTAATAGATTTTTTTAAAATTTTAAAAATTTTATTTTAATTGAAATCTTTAAACCTTTTTTAATAATTTTTAGTTAAATTATTTTTAAATATTAAATATTTTTAATTTATTAATTAAAAATTATTTATAATAAATTATAAAGAAAGTTTATCTATTATATTTTTATTATAAACTTTAACTTTAGTAATTAATATATTTATAATAATATGTTATTATTATTTATAATGCTAGTCCAACTTTGGTTTATTATTATTATTATTAACTCACAATTATGTCACAATAGCAATTCTTATTGAAAAATTAAAATAGACTCTACAATTGTTTATAGATTTTCATAAAGTGTCTAACTTGTCTTTATATATAAGTACTCTAAGTCAGATTTTAAAAACAATATTATATTCCTCTAATAGATTGATAATGATCTTTATCTATTAGGATTATTGCTAATAATTTATTACTATTGATTGATCTAAAAATCAATAAATTGCTAAGTTAAAAAGAAAAAGGAAAAAATCAATTGAAAAAAGGAAACAATTCAAGATTCACCAAAAAAGTTCAAAAATAAAAACAATATCTTTTCAAAAAGGATTTATCTAATTGAAATAATCTTCTTGCTTTACTTAAACTTTAGAAGAAATCTTCTTTTTTATTATTTACAGTATTGGACAAGTCAATTCAACTAATTTCTTATTTAAGCAAATATCAGATTAAGATATCTTAAGGAAAATATTTAGACCTTAGCTTTTTTTCATTAAAGCTTTATCACTATCTAAGAAAATTAAGTAAAAGATAAGAATTTGCAATTCATATTACCCATTACTTGATTTTTTAATATCTTGAAAGTCTTTATTAAGGAACTTAAGCTTTTTGAAATAAATCTTTCTGAAATATTCTTTTTAATTCCTAATATCATTATTAAAATACATGAATATAATCAATAGAAGTTTATTATATTCTAAAAACCAATATATTTAATATCAGTTAATCACATTTAATAAGAATTTGTGCTACTAAAATTTAAGATCAAACAGAGATAAATAATATTTTTTAAAAAACTATGAAAGTGAAAGCTCTAAAAGAACTAGGACAGTTTAAAAAGGAAAAAATAAGTTTTTTAATTGTAACAAAATCTCTGTAAATATTTTGCTTTAAAAGTTAGAAAGGTCTTCAAATATTTCATAGTCAGTTTTTTTTCTTTAGAAACTTTCTTACTATTGGTATTAAAGGTATTGTTTGATTTTTTTTAGTTACTAAGAGTCAAGTTTTTGGATAAAAAAGTTTATAAACAATAGAAAAGGGATAAAAATGATTCTTGAAGTCAGATTTCAAGTTGCTTTATAAAAAGTGTTAAAACTTTATTAACAAAAAAATAAAAAAATTTCTTGTGAATATTTTTTTATGTGTGATCAGAAAATTAGTAAAAAAAGTTTTTATTTTTTAATCTTTAGTCCAACTTTGATTTAATTGTATAATATAATAATATTGTATTAAATAAAAACAAGTTGTTTTTTTTTTTTTTTTAACCTGCAACTATATTATATAGCTTAATTTTTATTAAGAAATTTATGCAATTATCTATTATATTATATAATGATCAACTTATTGTTATATCAAAGTAATCTAAGTTAAGTCTAGAAAATAATATTTTACTTTTTTAGAAAATTGATATAAATCTTTATGTACTAAATTTATCACTAACAATTTGTTACTACATATTATTTAAAAATTATAAATTATTAAATTTATAAAAAAAAAGTGAAAAAAAAAAAAAGTATACAATTTAAACTTTTTTAGGAAAATCTATCAACTAAACAATTTTTTCTCAAAAGAAATTTGTTTAATTGAAATATTTTTTTTATTTTTATTTAAATTTTAAAAAAGATTTTTTTGGTTAATATCTATAATATTAGACAAATTAATCAAATTAGATTTGTTATTTAAGTAAATATTAAATTAAGATAGTTTATAAGAATCTAAAGATCTTAATTTTTAATTAGAAAAGCTTTCTTATTATATAAAAACTTAAAAATAAAATTTTATAATTTATATAATTATTCTTTTTTTTTTTGAGTACCCGTAGCCAGGCTAGATCGTCAGTTTATTAATCAAATGAAGACAAAAATACATTTTTATTTGAGCAGTATGATACATACTACAGTTAAACTATTATTCTAATCTAATTAACTTGTCGTAAGTATAAAAGCCTCTAAGTTCAGCCTTGGAAACAATATTTCACTCCGCAGTGTCTTTGGGTAAAGACCCTTCTAATTCACTGTATCATTGCCAGCAGGTTGTCACTGCCATATGTCTAATCAAGCCACTGAAATATAGGAAACTACAAAAGGATGGATTGAAAAAAAGGGAAAGGAGGATATTTAAAAATATCTAAGTAGACAAAAAAAAAATGAAAGAGTAAAAAAATAAAAAAATATTTCCAGGGTTCTCCAAAGACTTGCTTCTCAAGACCTCTTCTTAATAAGAAATGCCTGATTAGGATATCCTTTCTTTTCCTACTGTCTAAGAAACTTATTCATTCTTGATCTTTATTTCCTTCTTGTGTACCGTCTGAGGAGACTTATCGTCTAATGGAAGCCTTTACTTCTAGGACACACTTGGTCCTAACCTTCTTTGGGTAGTGATTTTTTATCCACCTGTGGTAGAGAGATGATTTATGATGGACCCCAGATTCTTATGTGACCTAGTAAGAACTAGACCATGTTGTTTTAGTATGATACCTTTCAGCAGCCACACCTAATTAAAGGAATTTTACTGGTATACATCTTTCATTACTCAAAAGGCCAGATTTCTCAAAAATCCTTTTGCCTTGTAATGGTAGGAGGGTTCAAAGAGTGGTAGGATCCTCGTCGATTGCGATATCCTTCAACAACTTCTGAGGAAATACATTCTCAACTGTAACCAAAGAGTTGAAGCTTAGCATGGATTAGAGACTGTTTGGTTTTATTGCCTGACTGGGATAAGAGAAAAACCTTGATCTTGAACTTTGCCTGACCAGAATAATAGGAGAAAAAGACCTCAGCTTGAATAAATAGTAGCTTTTTCATTACTTGGGGACTTGTTGCTCATATCTTATTGGTCTCATGGAACTTGATCTGTAAGTTAACCTAATTGGAGAAGTGGGGTGAACATGGGCACCAATCAACTCTTTCTTTCACCAATGACGTCATTGGAACACGTGAGGTGACCAATAGGAGCTTGTTTACATTCAATTATTAACGTGTTTCATGTTAACCAATCAGATGCCAAATAACGTTGTGCTACTAGAAATTCAGGGTTAAACTGAGGTAGGCAAAATCCCCCAAAAAAACCGTGAAAAACAATAAACACTTTAAAAGGGTATAAGACAGTATGTAAGAAGGTGGAAAATAAGCTTTCCTCTATCAACAAAACCTCTATTTCTTGTCGCTTCCAGCTCTGTAAGGTGACACTCCACTTGTCAGTCCTTTTACTTCCTAGAACCTTCT